GTTGTCTCTATGATTTTTGTGAATTGACCTCTTCAAAAGAGGTGGGCTTTGTGGACTCTTTTAAGCCTTGTGTACATTGCATTTCTTACTGTTTATTTGTATATTCTCATAGCTTTATAATAAATCTACTTCCAGAAAGAAAATTTCCCCTTAAATCAAATTTAGTTTCCATAACTGCTTTGTACACTCATTTAGATTTGAATGGGAAGCAGCCGTAAATCATACAGAGTGCAAAAGGGATGAAAGCCATTGTTGGGATGTGGCAGGGGTTAACCTCGTGATAGCCGTAACTCTCTTTACAAAGTTGGATAGTTCTTCAGGTGCAATATGCTATGTCAGATGGCCATGCCTGGGAGGTCTGAGGTTTAGAGACCACTCAGATCCTAGAGTTGCTTGATTGATATCAGGATTAGGATGGAAATGACTGCAAGTGACCCCTGCTGAATGTGGACTGAGAGTCATCTTTCCCCCAACTAAAATATTTCACTAAAAACCTGTCTTCTTTGTTGGGGCTTTAAAATTAAAAAATAAATTAGTGTTACAGTAGGGTATGATTGTTCTGTCCACAATTAGTATGTTAATAAATAAAGAAGGCAACATGGATTAAAGTCAGTATTAAACAGTTCAAAAATTTCCTGTCACTGTTATATATAATTTTTAAGTGTGTATGAGCGGCCATACTGGTTGCACCTCTTAGAAAGACCTTAATTATAGCCTCAGTCCTGTGCAATTTCACGGAATTCATTGCTTTGAAGGGCTACGTTTGTAAATGAAACTAAGCATGGGAGCATCAGGGCCTCTAAAATTTTACTGTGTGTTAATGTGAAGTGTATGCGATTTTATATATGTTGATTGCCTTTTGGGGATGTGCCTGTAAATACCAACCATCACAGTAATCATATTTTACTTCTTATTTATATTTGTTCTTCTAGATTTGTTTCTATAATATGCTATTTTAATCTTTTAATAATGGTGGAGAATGGAGTATGAAACAAAAAGAAAGTACCTGAAATTCACAAAAACATTTTCCCATCCAGAATTATTTTACTGCAGAATTTGTGCAATGGTATAGTCAGTGTAGAATTTATTTTTCAGGTTCTATTGTATATTTTCTTACCTGATGTGTGAGCACACTGGTACAACAGTGAATGTCATAAATCACTTATTAATTCATTTGGTTTTAGTATGTTTTTGATTTTGTTAAGTCTAAAGTTGTTTCGCATTTACTTCAGAGTACAAGTTCTTTTATCACTGCTTAATCATTCTCATTTGTTTGGGAAAAAAAAGCATTTGTCTTTTCTGTCAGTTTGCTGCTATTTAAAATTCTATGAAAAACATCTGCTGGTTTGGAATTTAAAGTTGCATTTTTCTGCATACAATAGAATCAGCATTGGTATGAAAAGAATTAAACAATTATTTTAATCTTTAATTTGGTTTGTTTTGAATGAAATTATTATTTCATTTTATGAGAATTTGTAGAGATAAAGAGATGTCGTGTTAATTAAAGAGCACATTTTTACAACGTGCAGAAGTATTGTTAGGTGAAGATAGTTTCAGATCATTTATGAAGAGGGTATTTGAAGATTGATACAGTGTTTGAGGAATCACCTTTTATGTTTTACAGTAAGTTGCACTTATGTCACTGAATAAGCATCTCCCATGTGTTCACCTAAAAGTGAATTGTGAAAAACAGAAGATAATTTGTAAATGGATCATAAACTTGTGAATAAGAAGTGAAATACTTACATGTTTCAAGAAAAAGAGAGTTCTGTATGCTTCAAAGTGAAGAACTTAAAAGGTGGCTGGTGGTAATACTGAAAAAAAGAATAATTGATTTAGAATAAAATTTGATATTTCACCAGTGCTTTAATTTTTGTTTAGCAAAGCTTCTTTCTTGCAGCTGAATTGGATATGCATGCGGAATGGTGTTAATGCCTTTCAACTTAATAATAATGGCATTTCTCTTACTGAGGTTTAGCCTGCCATCTTTCAATGGCAAAGTGCCTGTTGATATTCCTGGGAGTTCAGGCAACTGCAGGGCAAGACAGATTAAATAGTACTTTTTAAATTATGTGCAGAAGTAGTAAGAATATTAAAGTTGCAGAATTAAGCACCAGAAGTTGCCTGTTCCAACCTTAATGTAGTCTTGTTGTACATATACATTATGATAATTCTGTTCCTTGTTATACTGGAAATCTGTTTCAGATTTTCTTAAATGCAAGATTGTCATCTGTCTTTTTGCAGTTCTGTGCTCCATCTCTTGTCTCTCACATACATCGAAAAGTTAAGTACCTTGAAGAAATACTCTCTGATCATGTTGTAAAAAGCTGGATCACAAGTGATAGGCACTGAGGGATCAAATTAACGCTGCATGAGAAGCAGAGTTGTCAGCAAAATACTTCCTACAATTACGCTGGGGCCCAGATAGCAACTACAGAACTGCTTGCAATTTCCCAGTAGAAGAAATGGGAACTTAAAGTAATACAAAAACTACTTTGATCTGAGTAGTTTTGGAAAGATGCTGCCTGATAAGGCTCCCTGCAGGATCAGTGAAGAAGACTCTCTGGTTCTGTAATGTCTCTGTAGTTTAAAATCGGATCATATTGTGATGACCTAGGGATGGACTGGACTTGACATATTTCGGGATATAGTGTATATCTTTGTGAAGCTATTATTGTTTGCAGGAGAGGGAAGTGGGTTGGTTTTTATTGTATGAACTTCTCTCAAGTTCTCAGGCTTCGTATGTTTCAGACTGTTATCTGAGTTTTTAAACCAAAGTAACATGTAGCGTTCATAGTATGGGCTGTGTGTTTTCAGCATGATGATGTGTGACTCCTACCACATTATTTACAATGAACATTTTCTGATGTTTCAAAAAGAAGAATTTAGTTGATATCCCTAAATGTACCTGGGTTAGATGCTTCTGGTTTCTGAGTTTTCCACGGAAGCTGGGGATGTATTCTTGGGTTCAACCCTGCAGGTTCAACATCTGGCTGAGGGAGGCAGAACATTTTCACCAGAGGTTCTTGCACTTGGAATTTGCTTCCTTCTGTGGGTCTGTGTCAAAACCTGACTGAGCCTGTTTAACTCGAGGCAGTGGTGTAAAGCCCATCTGTTCCTTGAAACCTTTCCCTGAAGGAGAGATCTAGAGTGTATTTATGTTCTCAGCTGTGGTTGTGCTTTTTCAAATACTTAGCTGATGCTTTTTGACTCATTTGTGGTTTGGTTTTTTTAAAGATATAGTGAATGGATGTAATCTTAAAGCAAATTTTAAGTGTAATGCAGAACTTCCCTATCTTTAGCTTGTAAAGACAGTGAAGAAGTGTTGTCTCACCTTTGCTGTGAATGGAGAAATAACTTTAATGGACTGCTGCTAAGAAGAAAAGAGTGTAGAAAACTCACTGACACCTCTGCTGTTCTATTTAAAATATGCAGAAGTCTCTGGAAATAAGAGAAAATGCAAATCATATGTAACCGCATACCTTTACAGACCTGGTTTTACAATGTTCTGACAGTGTAATAGGAATTACTGATTTAATCTGTAGGAGGTCTGTGTGATAAAGGAAGGTGACGTTGAAGTTCTAATCAAAATTTCCTTCTTGACCCTTTGTTGAGTATTCTTGATGAAAACAGTGTAGTTGGGTAATTAGCAAAATTAAAAATACATCTAAAAAAATGTTGTGAAACCTTTTTCTGGATGAAGAGTTGTGTTTGTGACACCATGACTCACTGTAAGTGGTTTAGGGTAACATTTTTATAGGAGGAAAAGAGACAACATTATTACAAAGTGCCAATATTTGGACTGAATTACATTAATTTGTTCTTGTAGGACGTTTGAATAATTTCATTAACTGAAGAAGATATTGAGTCTTGTCTACATGAGGAAGCTATCACAAAATTAGTTATGGGATGATTTTAAAGTATAATAGCTATTCAGCACTAACTCCTTATACAAACAATTTTATTCTGTGCTACAAATGACCTTTTGCAACTTAGTTGACTAAAAAACATGCAAGTTCCCTCCAGCCCCAATGACGAATAAGTATTTATGTAGGGAGTTAGTGCAGAATAGTTACTACAAGATAAAATTATGTTGTTAGCTTATTCCATATTCCACTGGCCTCCTTAAAAGCATCCTTAGGAGAAAGTGTGGTATTATGTTACAGATGTATTCCTACAGTTACTTGTATGTTGTATGTGGATCAGAGGAAAATGTATTCCTTCTGAGAATATTTCTGAGAACTGTTTAAACTGTTGACAGTGTGATTCAATTGGAGGTGGTAAGTCCAGTATGCTTCACTGGAATCAAAGATGCTGCTCATGCAAATTTGCTTATCATTATTTGTAAAATAAATTGAGTCATCAACTGAGTTAGGTTTACTTACTTGGTTTAGTTGACATGTAAGGACTAATGCTGGTAAGAAAATGACAGGTTTAACCACAGCTAGTATGTTTAGGATTCATTTATAAATCATAAATTACTTATTTTCAATAATGGTAAAATCACAGAATGACCTTTATCCTCTTGCATGATATCATGTGAATATGACAAAGCTAAATTCCCACGTCATTGTTTAAAAGAGAAGCAAAATAAATGACCACCAGAGCTGTCTTATGTCCAGCAGCTTCTGAAGACTGCCAATGTTCTGCTGCCTTCTGGCTTTCTAACACAGTGAATTCGGGACACAAATATGGAAGCCTTCCCATGAGAAAATTGGAAAGTGATTGAACATGTGTATCTCTTAAGCAGCGTGAAGGCAATAACATTGATCATGTATTGATATATTAAGTATGATACGGACTTTGGCTTTTCTTAAGAATGTAATTTCAAATACTTTAATTTGCTTAATTTGCAGTTTTCATCAACAAACTACTTTTGTCCTAAAACCAAAGCGTGCATTATTTATTCAGAAGCCTTGATTGCACTAAGATTTATTGTCTTAAAGTGTATCTCTATGCATTTCTGAAATACACTTTCTTTGGTTCTTCAATTTTCTAAGAAAATAGAAAAACTAGGATTAGAGCTGAATGGAAGCAAACAGCGTTTGGAACAAGCCCAGCAGGATCTGACAGGAGCCAGAGAGGAGTGCCTAAAACTGACAGAACTGCTGAGTAAATCTGAGCACCAACTGCACCTCACCAGGTACCCCTTATCCTATTACATGCTGTAGTACCAATTTCATTCTGCTAATTTTTTGCCACAGGCTTCCCCACAGTTGTTTTAGATATTTACAATAATTGACTGCATGGGCAGCCCTCAGTCATGTTAAAAGTGGAGATTTAAGTGAGTGAGTTATGAACTACAAAGTGAGTTATGAACTATAATTTATGAAAGTGAATTAGTAGTGTGAAGAAAAGACAATGTTCAGCTCCGGTGATGAGGTAGCATGCTTTTGGGCCAGAAGAAGAGCATCACTCTTTCTGTTGTTCTGTGTTTGGTAGGACAAAGACACTTTTAAATATCATTTGACACTATAGTGTAGCAGCACCTTGAAGCGTAGGAGTTCTCTGATCAATAACCTGAAGTTTCTCTGTCCTTGGATATAGCTTCCAAAACCATTTACTGTACTACTCATTACACATTTCTGGAAATCACCAGAAGGTTAATATGCCTATTATTCATTGCATCTTGAATTTTGGTAACTGCAGGAGTTTTTCCTTTTGCCACAGGAAATGATATTGACTGACTGTTTGCAGGGTTTTGATACTTTGTGTGGCTTTTGTTTTGTTCTGTCGCCCTGCTCCCCTCAAGGGTGAACATCCAATGAATCTGGTGGCTCTTACTCAGTCCTTGAGGAATAGAAGTTAGTTTAAATTTTACATGGGGGGGGAAAAAGCCTCAGATTTTTATCACTTAACAGAAGTTTGCGTTTTTATCCAAGTCTTTTACTCCTCGGGCTTTGTGAGAATACTGCCATTGAGTAACTGGAAATAAAATACAGCCTTGCCTAAACTATTAAATTCAATGAATCACTTTTTTATTCAGCCACATTTCTGTGTAATTCAAAGCACGGTTGTTTAACAGATGGAAGAAAGTACCACTCTAACAGCCTGTATTTAGAGAAAAAATATGCTAGAGGTTAATGAACTTGAAAAAAGTTTTGGGTGAGTTGTTAAGATATCTAAAGTTTGGATTTAGCAGAACTTTATTAATAATGATTTGTTGTGATAGTTAACCAAATGGCTTACCACGCTCCTTTTAGCAAAAGGCTGATTATATGCAATGAAGCTCTGGATGTCTTGGAGGAAATCTGACTAGCCAATTTTTTTTTTTTTTTTTAATTTGTGAAAATACTCAACTTGTAAAAATGAGGACTATTGCCTACTTTCATACAGCAAGGTAGTTAAAACTGGATACCTAACATACAGATGATTCAGGTAGCTTTTCAGTCTGTGGTCCAATTCAGGAAGTTTCTGAGATGCAAATTACTGGAGGCTGGGAACAGTGTTTTGGGCAAGAAATGCTCTGTTCTGGCCCTGTTCTCATACTGTATCACAGACATCTGCTTTCTGAGACAGATGCTGAACTGCCACAGTTTCTTTGTCTGACCTAGTGCAGCAACTGTTGTCCTAATCTTTACTGTATTTTTTTATGCCTTGTGCTCATGTTATAGCCTCTGCTTGTAGGTATGCTTGCTAGTAGTGAAATGTTTTCTGTGCTGACATCTAATTGTCAGAAAGATGTGTAGATGGAAGTATGGGAAATAGATTCAAATCTTTCTCCTTGATAGTCCCTAAATTCTTTAATACTTTGTTCTCTTTGTGTTCTCCTTATCTTTGGAGTGTGTCTGCTTTCCAGGAATACATAAGGTGATGTTGCTGTCATGGGTGAAGAAGGGGAAGAAAACAGAAGAGATGAGAGATTCGTTGCTCCTGAACTCATGCCCATGTACTTAGATAGAAAGAACAGGGTTAGAGATGTTCTTGCTCAGTCACCTGTTTTCCCTGAGTTACAGAGGAAAGGATCCCCTACTGAAATGAAACTTTTCCTTAGCCTGTGCTTCCTTTCTTCCTCTCAGATCACTGCCTGACAGAACAGGTTTTCTGTATTAGGGAAGGTATACAAGTTACATCTCTAATGGCATTAGTTATGTGTTTTGAACTCAGTATGTTTTTAATGGATTGGTACATCCATAATTGTTGCACGTGAACTTCATTGCCTTACAGTCTGCCTTCTTTCATTCTTTATTCCTTTCACCTCAAATGGCAGCTGTGCCAGTGAAATGCTCACTTTGAAGGGTAGTGGTAACAGCAATCCTAGGGGGTTATAGACTCATTCACTCTGGTACTTGCCAAGGCAAACAGACTTTAAGCTCTAGTGTCCTGCCTGTGGGAGGTTGCTGCAGCAATCGCACTGATTTAGTACCTCTCTTGGGTATTCTGGCCTTGGCCTCGTCTTGCTGATTTCCCTCTTTCCAGGAGACGACCAGCTGGTCTACTCCAAGTCTTCTCACAACACTGGACTTGAGGGAGGTCTGTACTGCTGTTACATGGTTGTGAATAGTCTTTCTGTTGCCTTGCATGACCTGTCTGGGTTGTTCTGGCAAAAAATTATAGGTATCTGGGGAGATACAGAAAGTATTGTGTATATCTTCGTATACTATGAATTAGTATATTACTAAGGAGGAAGGTCAGAAAAGGTCTTCCTAATTCAATGATTTGAAGTTTTGATAGTGTAAGTAAATAGAATACTAAAAATGAGTACAAGAACTTTTGGATTTTAATGTATGAAAATGAGATTGTAAATATATGAATGGATTAAATGAGAAAGAGCATGCAGTCTGGCTTAATGAGAAAAAGTGCTCTGCAGAACTGCACTCTTCTCCAGGAGTCCCACTTCTTTTGCTGCATCCTAGTTTTCAGACACCATTGATTGATTACCAACTAAACAGCTTCTAAGTTAACAAAATGTACTTGTTAAAAATCGAGAAAAAGGTTACAGTTAGCTATTCTGAACCATTGCCACAGAGTTTAAATTTGCCTTTTCCTGTCACCTTTCCCGTGCTATTGACATGCATTTCCTACTACTGACTCTAGTTAGTAATTCTAATTTGTATGTCTTCAAACGACTGGGAAAATACAGAACTTTTGCTGTGTAGTTTTGGTTATCAGCCATGTAACTCTGTGGGTGTCACCATGCTATGAGACTGACCGTGCTTGTTTAAAGTATTTGGGGTTTTTTTTACCCTAGTTTCAGCTTTGTGTTTTATTTTTATTAGAGTTACCACAGCAGGAGAATCTTACGAAATTACTTCTGAAGTCAGTGTTAAGTTGTTGTTACTTCGGCAAGGTTGGGTCTTGCTAATGAAGCTTATCTGAATCCATTTTCCAGAGGGTAGAAAACATACACACCTATTGTTCGTAGTTCATGAGAATAATGATTAAAAATCATGTCAGTATGCTAGTGGAAAAGATCATATAAAAGAAGCAAGATGTTAACAACTTGCCCAGATCTTAGTGTGTCATCTAATTTAATAAATTTTTTCACTATTTTAGTAACAGAATCATCATTAAAAATCTTTATTCTTTTTATTTCAAAACAAGTCTGAAGTTATATTTGTTTCAGTGACAGTCAGATGTGGTTCCTGTTTGCATATGCCCAAGCAGTTAAATAAATCTTAAGAAGCGAGAGAATCCCTGAATTTCAAAATCGAACTTTTTCAATGACACAATGAATGTTCTCAGGCACAGAGACAGGTAGATGGCTTGAGATATTTCTGACTGAAATGCCATCTAAAATTTGCTGGGAGATGTAACTGAGTGGAACAGAAGCAGATTTAGTTTAATTTTTTACTCTTCTTGTTTGCTATAAGAAACGTTGCAAGCAGTATTGAATGTCAGCTTGTAGGTGGGGAAATATTACTAAACGGTAGAAGAACCCATGCTTCCAGGTTCAGGTGACCCAGGATCCCCGTGTCACTCTCTTGACGGATAAAAGTTTATATTACAGTGAGTCAGTGGGTGTAGTAGGTCTTGATATATTTTTTTTTTTTTTTAACCCCCTCGTTCTGTGATATTTCTTTTCTCGATTATTTTTCTAAATGATATCTGGAAAGCAGCATATCTAAGAAAGTGGCATTTGGGGAGTACAGTGGGGTTTAGCAGTGCTGTAGCCTTCCTACTGTGCATCAGTCCTTCTCGCTTGGTTTCAACGGCTGCATTAACGCTAATTTGTTTTACATGTATAATAAATACGGCACAGAGATCTGTCGTTCCACCTCCCGGGTTCCTGTGGCATTGTTTAGTCACTGAAGCTTGGAGTTGAGCTGTATGTCGTCACCAGTGTTCCTTGTTAGAACTGCAGCATGCCTCATAGATTGATTTCCCTATTTAAGCCATACTAGTAAATGATAAAATGTAAACTAACTTCTTGGGAGTTGCAGCTAACCTTCTAGGGAGTTGCACAGCACTTAGTGTTATCTGTTGGGTTTTTTTTCTAGTAGTATCTATTATTTAGCAGCACACTTGTGCTTTTTCAAACAATTTTAGCACGTCAGAAAGAGTCCATCGTTGGTGCTGGATAGGAGGTAACATTCAAAGAAGGGCTGTTACTAATATTAAATGACTGAGAGATGTTTTATGTTCCCAGACTGATGAAAGGACCCATAATATTTAAATTGGGAGGGGGAAGAGGGGAGAAGCAGAAATGAAGTGTAGGCAGTAATTGATTTTTAGTTTATTTTCTTCTCATTTTGTACAAAACCATTATTTTAAAATTCAGGGAGGAGCGATAACGTGCAACAACTCCGATAACTAATAAACTTTTTAGGTTCTGCTTCATATGTTTACTTTTCATTAAATTTAGGGATGGTGGCGACTGTGGTGTTGTGATTCAGTCAACATTTATTTCTATCTGGTTTTCATATACAAAGGCATCGGGATGCCAGAAAAATAAACTGTTAACGGAGAATTAACTTCTTTGGCACGCTTTCATACTTATCTTCCAAATTAAAGAAAATGAAATGGGCAGAAGCAGAGTGTAGATTACCTCCTTTTTTGTCAAAAATGGTGGGAATTTGAAAATTAATAATAAAAAAGGGAACAGATGCGGTAACATGCCAGAGGGAGATTAATGTGGAGAGTAAAATCTGTGAGCAACAAAACTGAAGCAAACTGAATCAGTGGGAGGTGGTTGTACAATCA